CAGGAATAAAACTCATATCTCATTTATACAGCACTGCACTCTAGCCCTCACCTCCCAGCAAGTCTAAATCACCCAAGGTATAGCCTTAAACCTAAGTTTTATTCTGTGTTCTTTTGGAGCAGTGCTCACTGGTAGCTGTGCCATGACATGATAGTGCTGTTCAGTGGCTTTTCTTTCTGAGTGCTAAAACACAACTCTAAAAAAACAGCAGCTTTTCCATTCCTCCACCTCATGGCCTCACAAAGAGTTTGGCCATTTGGGGTGTCTCAGACCTCCTCTTTGTGATCTCTGGTCTCATGCTTGGACCCAGGACAGGAGATCTGGACAGCTCTGACAGGCTTATATGTGTGTTTTCCCAGAAATTAAATTTTATTTATTTTTCCCCCCTATTATTCCTGTTCAGAGCATCATCTTCAGATCCATAACATCTCCCACCATACTGCAACTATGAAGCAGCTCTAACCTCACTAGTGACTCCTGGGTGTTACTTACAGAGCAACTAGAAATCAGTCAATAGAGAAAGGGCAACATACAGTCTAACAAATAATTTATAAACTGACTCTACTTATTTGATTATTTGCACAAGCAAAGACTGAAGATGTAAGAAATTTTCAGCCGTCTTGGTTGATTTTTTGTCTTATCTGAGACTATACTTGAATAAAAACAAATTATTACTTTGTTATGGTAAAGGCTCACAAAACAGCACATAAGATGAAGTTTGATTACTCACAGCTACTCCTCTCTTCTCCAGTTCTTTGAACACAGATTTGATTGGAAGGGAAAATGATAGGGTGAGTTGGCATCCTCTTTCCTCAATCCGAGATGGTGTGATTATTTTCACAAAGGGCTTCTCAGGATTTGTTTTATCCTCACTGTAGTAAAGTTTTAACAGGTATTCCAAGTAACCAGTGAGTAGAATGGATTTCCTTCTCAGTGCTTTCATTGTAGTTTGACTAAAGACCTATAATGATTTGAAATCATTAGAATGAGAATGTGTTGCTATAGAAAATGAAAAGCACATAAAGAAGACTAAAAGGGAGACAGATTTCTCCATACATTATCAGTGGAATCAAATAGAAATATCAGAGAGACATTATACATAAACATGGCAGGATAAACACAAGATAAATTTATTACTTTAGATAATGAAAGATATTTCTGTCTAATGTTAAAGTTTTATACACATCCATATCTGCGTAAATGAATTTGCACACAAAACCAGTTTGCTAAGAGAGCATTCATCTGCATTTGTGAAGAGGATCCATAAATTCTCTAGGGATGTAAGTACTGAATGTAACTCAAAATCACATGAGAGTTTTTCCTTGTATCTACCTCTAATCTATACCTTATCACTCTCTACAACTACCTGAAAGGAGGTTATAGCCAAGTGAGGGTCCATCAGGAAAAGAGAAAACAGTCTCAAGTTCTACCAGGAGAAGTTTAGGTTGGATATTAGGGAAAAATTCTTATCTAAAAGGGTGGTCAAGCATTGGAACAGGCTGCCTAGGGCAGTGGTAGAAACACTGTCTCAAAGTGTTCAAAAGTTGTGCAGTTGTGGCACCTGGGGACATGAGTTAGTGGTGGGCTTGGCAGTGCTGAGTTAGAGATTGGACTTGATGAGCTTAAAAGTCTTTTCTAACCTTAATGATACTATGACTCTACTAACAAAATCCAGGTGCCAAAACTGAAACATCATCACTGATCTACAAGTTCTTGTCTTTGAAAGCACCGAATATATATTAACATATTGACTTTGCTGTTTAAGTCCTGTACAGATTCTCTCTCCTAGTGCACATGAAGAAAAAAATATTCACTGAATTTTTATTTGACAGCTCTGTGCTCTTACACAGCTACAAGAACTGCTGAGCTTCACAAACTCAAAACATCATGAGACATGCAGAAATGACTGCTTAAAACCAGCACTGCTATCTTGACACATGAACAAGAACAGCCAATATAGCAGAGGAGTTTGGGAGCAGAAGGTAAGACAGTTTCTCCTTTTGGTCTGGAAAGGCTGAGTTACAGGGAATAACAGAATATGTGACCCCCAGAAACAATTTACCCCTACCTTCCTCAAACCCTCCTTTTTCTTCTTGCCATGCAAGTAGCTTCAGGGGAAAATGATAAGATATAGACATACAAGTGCCCAACAGTCACTTCAAATCACATCCTGGCACATCAGAGCAATATCACTGCTCGTGAACAGTTATGCCTCCACTGACTACAGCTGCCAAGTCAGAGGCAATACAGAGGTCCTGGATGAAAAAACATGATCCTCACTCTCAAGAAATCACTGCTCCACACTGAAGGACTAACAATTTCAAGATGTGTATCATAATCTGGAAAGACATATAGAGAAGTAACTGAGAAATCCTACTCAAAATACAACAAAGTCTGGTTTCCAGCAGCATCTGGAAATCATTCTTTTATAGACTATCCCAAGTATCACTCTCTGATGCTATCACAACCACTAGATGCTGCACAAAACTAAAAGCCCCTCTGTGTGTTTTCTGTGAAACAGTCCATGGATGTGGTAAGGCAGAGTTTGCATGGAAATGGATGTGACAGGGGCCAGGACCATCAGCACTAAGCATTTGCACAGGTCAATAAAAATCTAGAGGTACTTCCCTTGCCACCCAAGCAGGCAGAGCACACACACAGAGGAGTGTTCTGCACAGTAGTGGAGGGCAAACAGAAACCTGCCCCCTATTCCTCCAGGATTTGCAGCAGTATAAAGGATGGATCTCCTTAGGCTGCATGCAAAAATCTGTTTCCACAGGCTCTGTGCAAGGAATATTTGGTCTCCTGGGTGAAATATTTTGAAAAAGATCTTTAAAATGTGGCTGTAGAACGCTCCCCTTTTTTCCATAAAAGGGAGCAGCTACTTCCATAACAGTCACTTTAAGCATTATTGAGGAATAACATCCATTAACACTTGCAGTTTTCATTGTTTCCATTGGAAACACTGCCTTCTGCTTAATGTGTCCCACTGAAGGTGGCATGCAATTTCACTAGTCATCTCTTGCCAGACATGAAAACTATTTTGTTTCCCACTGTATTAGAGCAATTAGCACTGGGAAATCCTGGCTGTGCCAAAAGGTAATGTGGGCATGGAAAGGGGAGGCGATGGAAACTGCTCAGCCCTCATTGTTCGAGGCTCCCTGCAGTGGGCTAAATGACACCAGCCCACACAAACCAAAGCACTGACAATCTGGGTCATAGCAGAATAGCTTTCAGCTTATCTCGAAGGTCACATAAAGTTTAAAACAATATATTGGATGTTTAAGGACTAACAAAACAAATTGTCGGGCGAAAAAAAAAAGAAGCATTGCTGTGCCCTTTGCAGTCCTCCAGCATTTCATGTAAGATGGAGAAAGCATAACTGGCAATTTTCTGACTTTGTTTGCTTAATATGTTGTTTTTCTCAGCACATAAAGAGGGACACACAGTGTAGGGACATTGCTCTTTGTTCCAGCATCAGCTTTGCTATTCCAATAACATTAATGGAATGCTAAGCAGAAAGATATTTCTCCCATTTAGGCTGGTGGCAAAAGCTTGCTCACCAAGGCTGGCCTGAAAAGCAACTTGGGAAAAACTTTAATATAGTAGAATATATAGCATATAGTAGGTAAATCTATGTAAAACCATCCTTTTCAGCCACAAAGACCCAGAGTCCTGCAATTCAGGGGTGAACCATCCATAAGAGAAATGCTGTTATGTCTTGATACGAAATGCAGCACAATGCAAAGTGTTTGGAGAAGAGCTTCATGCCTTCAGACAGTGAACCAGAGGCTGTAAGCAAATGGGTCACACCTTTCTAGAAAGGATGGGGGTAGCTCTATATGGCAAGACTGACCTTCCCACAGCCACAGTCTCAGCAGTTCATATAGACATGTCAGAGATGAGGCTCTGCTCCTTTGGCCACCAGAAACTAAGGATCCTAACATAGAAAAAACAGTCTGGAGCTATACCACACTCATAAATTCCCCTTTTAGGAAGCATTCACAGACAGCTGCTGTCTTTTCTGTTTGTAACCAAATGGAGTCCAGGTTCCCTGAGCCACTGGTTCAGTTTAGATTGCAGGATATTCAGTGGCCACATCCATTTGGTTTCATAGTGAAGTCTTCTTGGGGAAATATATGTACAAGCAGCTCTGGATACAACTTTCCACAGTGACATGATTCCTTTGTAGGGTGATCTTGAACAACATTCTTCCTGTGAGTTGCACTGAGGCAAGCTCTAAATATCTCTGTGGGACAAAGCTCCTGACTGTCCTGAGCCCCTAAAAGTGGGATAAGCACAATGAGGTCAGGTTTAAGTACACACTAGGTCCAACTGCAAAGTTTATGAGAACAGTGAAGGGATGAGCATATTCATTAAAGACCATGGACTCTCAGGGTTATGGGGCTATTTTTTTTGTTTTGTTTCCCCTCCCCTTTCTTTTTAACTATTCTGCAAGATTTTTTTTAAGGGAGACAGCAATAATACATGTAACATCCATTTAACATCTTTAGACTCTTAAATTCAGGCTCAAAGTAAAGCAATTACTTACCTCTAAACTGGCATGCAGAGCACAGACCAGTAAAATTGGAGGATTTGATAACCGAAATCCATTAATTCCTTCACTTAGTTGTAATTCTGGAAAATGAATAACTTATATTAGTGTTTTTGATTTCTTCCTTTTAATGGATTGGACCTTATCTTGAAGTCTGTCCTCACGCAATAAAATATTTCCCTAATGTGGCCTGTAGGAATTGGTCGTTAAAAGAAAATAGTAATCTATTCCCACTAATACTTTTAACTTCGAGAGAAGCCCAATTTTATCCAGCAGAAGACCTCATTAGCAGCTTCATGGGAACCAGTGAACTTCAATTAATTTGTTTAAATGCTGTGTGTTAAAACCACCTTTACACTTGAATCTCTTAATGCTGGCACAAACCAGAGAAATTCCAAGTCAGCAGAGGAACACTCACATGGAGCCACACTGCACGAGCAGGGAATCACATTCCTTAACTTTATTAAACTGATGAGACACATGGGAGGCTGCATATGCAGCTAAGTGTAGCTTCAGGCCACAAAGAGAAGTTGCCTAGACTTTGGGCTGTGAAATTTCACAAAATCTATTTAATAAATCTCTAAAGCCTCACTGTAAGTTCTGTGTCACCATTTATATTTCATGCTCCAGCACCAAAGGACAAGGATGTGGAGGAAGAAATGCTTCTCCTGCACAGCAGAGTGGTTAATTTTATAACGCCCAACTTCTCCCCTATCAACTGCTCCTGGAAATGAATAAAAAATGTTTTCCTTCTTCTAACAGTATTTCATGGCAATTTGTGTCTCCTGCTGGCTTTCCATAGTGCCATTCTCTTGCATTTGGTCTGAAAACAAAGAGCAGACTGAGGCTGTTAGAGAGATGTTCTCCAGCCAAAGTCCCATCAATAGGCACTGCCACAGAAAATTACAAATATATTAAAAACAAAACAACCAATCAAACCAAAAGGCTCCTTTCTCATCCTGATCCCTCAGGATATTCTCTCTGCCATACTTTAAACTGGAACTGAATGGTTTAGTTGTCAGAATTGGAAAGGGGTCCTCATTTCATATTGGGACAAGAAATACTTCACTATCCCAAGGCAGGTTTGGGTTTGCCTTATTACCCATCCTTCCCCAGTGCAAGGAATTTGGAGATGTTGAAACGTTAGGGGCATTTCATGACTTATGTCAGGTTGTCTTACCTTTATTTGTATAATTTCTCATTAATTCCAGTGGAACTAATCCTGACGTAAGATATTACCCAAGTGAACATTAGCACATCCTCGCTCCTCCGAGACTTAGGAATTTAATTCATTGAGATACTTTGAAAGTTTCATCCATATTCTATGTCTGCATCTTGAAGGTATTTCAGCAAAATGTCTAGAAGCAGACAGTCAGACCCATATGCCCACACATAAATTTATTCCAACATTTATTTTGTTAACTCTATTGCATTACAGTTTGGGGATGATTTTATCCTAATGCCTTTAACGTGTGTGAGGAAATGCAAAGTCCTGTCCTTTCTCCTCAAATTACAACAAAAGTGAAGCTGTTGATATAAAAATACATCAAATAAGGTAAAAAGGAAAGTGTAAAGTACATACTGTTTTCCATGAGGAATCGTGTTTTGAAGTCATGACCCCACCAGCCGATTAGTCTAAGATTTTGTAAAGAAAGTAAATTAATAGAAATCTTGGTATGTATTTTAATTTAGATTTGAACATTAAGAACTATAGAAGATTAAGAAATATATACATTTCCAATAATACATTTTATTTCTACCAATGACATAAAAATGAAATAAATTCCATAAAGAGCCAGCACTAAAAACTTTATATTACTATGTGGGAATTTATCTTTGAGTTCTAATGATAAAATGCAGTACATCTCTCAATTAACTATTGATTTCTAACAATATCCATTTTCTCCAAATTCATTTCACAAAACAAAAAATAGAACAAAACTATTTCCATTCTTTTGTTCCAAGGTATTAAATTCAAACCCTTCTCCCCTAACCCTTAAACTTAGTTTAATGAATAATGAAAGCTTAAAAGGTGTTATAAAATCTGACTTATTTTCACCAAGAGAAGGACTCTGGGCTGGACAGCAGCAAGATCTCAGAAAGAGGATTGTATGGACACTGCCACATCCTTACTGTGAGACAACAATATGAATTCTGCATAAAATTCTCTAAGCCTGAACTGAACATACTGTCAAAAAAAACTTCCTCAAAATAAAATCCAAACCAGTTTAATCCAATATTTCTTTTTTTTTTTAAGATCATCTCCAGGAAAAAACCCAAAGAGTTATGCTGAAAATAATCTAAGCTTGTACATTATGATGACAGTACATTCTTAACTCATACTTACTGAAAAACACACCCCAGGTCATAACTGCAAAGAGTTATCTGAAGCACATGGATGCACTAGATCACCTAGTGCCCAATGCACTGCAGATAAAGTCAATATTGCAAAATCAAGGAGTCTGTCCCCACCTCCCTTGGGTTCTCTACTTCTTTACTCAGCACAGAGTAATATCAGTGACTAATAATTTCAGTCCTACCTGAGATTTCCCATGTATCAGAGCTATTATCAAGAAGTCACCATTGCAGATTCCTTCCTGAACTTCTAAGCTCTACAATAATGGATATATTTTGCACTATTTCTCCCAGGGCTTTGCTCAGTTTTCCCTATGCCATATAGCAAAGTTGTTAGGAGTGAAGCCTGACAGGGGTTTTAAACTTGTAATCATAAAAAAATCTCTTAGCAAAACTCATAGTAGATCAACCTTTCTGGAAATAAACAGGGAAAAGAAAGTCATGGCCCCTCTTTAAAGCAGGAGCACTTTGCAGTTTGGCTAAAAAAGCTTACCTCTGCAAAATTAAGCCCACATTGGAGTTAGAAACTTGTTATATGAATACTGCATAGTGTAAAATAAAGTGCTGCGTATTTCTGTATAACAGCACAGGTTTTATGTTTACTTCTGTGCAAGCTGCATCCAAACAGAGTGCATACAGCAAAAAAAAAAAACAAACCCATGCTTTCTTCTTTATTGCTGCATGATGGTTTTATTATTCTAAGACCCATGAAAATTAATAGTGCAATATACATCCGTTTCAAATGAGATATTACACTGCCAAAATGAGTACACCTCAAATAAAATAGAACACTGCCTCTGCCCAAGTGACTCAGTTACTGATGCTTTGAATTATAAAATATATTTCAGGTATTTTATAAGAACTCTATAATCCATCGACAACATCTCAATGCAAGTCCTGAAAATCATATGTTACTGCAACATACTACTAATGTCAATGGCAGACATGTTCCATGAATTCCAAAAGTTTTAAAATTAAAATAAAAAAAAACAAAAAATCATGGGAAATATAACATTTGGACTATTTGCTGCAAAGACAAAATAATTCTGTGTTCTATTTGGATGATATGCCAAAGTTAAAGACAAAAGACACATCAACCAGACTATAACTCAGCTCAAGTCTGATGAAAAGAACTCTGGTTGCATTTTGAATACTCAAAACTTGCTAACTCTGGAGATGGCTTAACCCCAGATCTCTACTGCAGCACCAAGTTTGCAACTTGGAAACTGAAATTTCAGAACTTTTCCAAAATGACAGAATGAAGGATTTTTTTAATGACAGTTTTAGCTGTCTTGCCCTTTCCTACCATAACTTGACAATTTGCTTTTTCTCTTTTTACTTTTTTTCTTTTTTGGCTGTTCTAGAACTTCAGAGGTGTCACTACAGGATGTGCACTTTGAGGCAGCTCTGGTCCTACACTCTCATTGATCTAATGGTCCATATGGATGTCACATTATTTGACATTTAAGTTGACAGGCTTCAAAGTGTGGAAATTAACAAAATCTTCACAAATTACAGCAATTTGCTGTTTATAATTTTCTGTGAAAATTTTGAAATGAAGGTTGCCACTGCTATGCCAAATTTCAACCTGTTATGATGGGGAAGAGCTAAGGTGTTAAACCCCAAACATAACGCTTTATAAATGCTCGCTAAAAATAATAGGCAATAAAACTGCACATTAAGTTACTGCAGTAAAATTTCTTATTAAAGAGTTGTTACTCTGCATGCAAAATGAGCATTTGGAAATGCAGACACCATTTTGACTCTTCCTGCTTCAGAAAACAAAGACACCAAGATCTAAATTGATTTTCAACTCCAAACCATCATTTTGTTGCAACATACATGATGTAGAAGGCTCTGAATATCCTGATATGATGTGCTTGTGTCTGAAAAGACATTAAACTTGCTAGCAAAGGGACTAGAGTTACATCCTTTCCATTGAAGATAAAATCCATTTTGGGCAGTGTATTAAAAATCAGTGTCTGAGGAGAAAAGGGTCTAATTTTGCATATGTTCCATCATAAATAATGGGAATAGTGTTTTAGTGGTCACTGCCCTTTCCATATAAACTTATCCAAACTGGACACTTACTTTAACACAGCACTAATCAAAACTGTTATCACAGAGATGGACAACTCGTGGGTGTAGCATCCTCCTGTCAGTCCCAGGTACCACACAATGCTACAAAGCAGAAATTTCCCTGGAACACTTCCACAACGAACACCCAGAAGCAAAAACATATATGAAATCCATTACTCTCATGCCAAAAAGATCATCAAATTCATAGCTGAATCAGCTGGGTTTTTTTTTCTGTGAGATTCACATGTTCTTGCAAAACAACTTCTATAAGAAAACAAACAGATAACACATTGTTCCAATCTATAAAATAATCCCCATGCCATCATAGAATGGCTTGGGTTGGAAGGGACCTTAAAGATTATCTCATTCCAACCACCCTGCCATGGGCAGGAACACCTTCCACTAGACCAGATTGCTCAGGGACCCATCCAACCTTTCCACATCCTCATCGTTTGATAACACTGCAACTTTCTCAGGGAATTCTGCAGCTTTCCAGTCTTTGCACAGAACTAGTTTTAAAATATGCCACATAAAATTTAAAGCAAACTGTTACTAGCTCAGTAACAAGTAAGTATATAATGAAATATTGCTGGAAGGTTTTCAAATTCCTTATTTTTACCCCAAAATGTTCTCTTATTTTACAAATCAATGAACAAAGATTTGCTGGGTTGGAAAATGACTACAGAAAGGAGCAGTATCCTTTCATTTAGTCATACTCTCTTTAAGGGCATTTACACCAGGGAACAATCCCTTCAATAAGTATTTTTATTTAGCTCATTTTCCTCCTTCATAGCTGTCTACATTAGACTGAAGCACTGGTTGTTCATAACTTGAGTCATCTCGTTTGTAGTTGCATTAATGATGCAGAAGTGCAGGATATAATGATCATGATGTATGTGCAGTGTAAACATCAAAGAAGATCCAGTTAAAGAACACAGAAAAAATCCCCAAAAAATTCCTTTGACCTTTGCTTCAATGTTACAGATGATCATGGTACTCATTTATAATTTACAGCCTGAAGCAACACAGCTCTCATTTCCCTTCTTGGCAAGAAAAAAAAAAAAAAAATTAGAAAGAAACTCTTGAGTAGTGATACAGAAAACAGAAATGCCATTAATGTGGCCCAGCTTTTACAATCCAGGGCAATGTGCTGGAAGTATGCTGTCATTATAATGTGTGAGAAATAATTTCATGTCCATGAGAAGGCATGTTGAAAAGCTACAGGAATGCAGTGTGAAATCAGCAGTACTTGATATTACATTTGCCAGCTTCACTGGGCATGGAACAGTTTGTCTCCTCTCCGTTATCAGGTCACAAAGTGAGCTAGAAATTTCATAGTCATTATTTAGATTATATTAGGAGCATATACCAGCAAAGCATGCTAAGTTTATGAAACCATGGGTTAAGCTAAGTCATAAACAGGCAGTTTTGGGGCAGACTGTGTACACAAAGCAGCTGATGTAGCTGCTGGGTAGCAGCTAAGCTCTTCATTCACACATCACTTTAGTTTGGCAAAAGCATCCAGGTGATGGCAACAATTAGAGACTATTTACAGGAGTGTGCAGTGACAGGACAAGGGGGAATGACTTCAAACTGTAAAAGAGTAGGTTTAGTTTAGATTTTAGAAAAAAAATCTTTACTGTGAGGCTGGTGAGGCACTGGCACAGGTTACTCAGAGAAGCTGTGGCTGACCCATCCCTGGAAGTGTGCAAGGCCAGGCTGGATGGAGGTCTGAGCAACCTGATCTAGTGGAAGGTGTTCCTGTCCATGGCAAGGGATTGGAACTGGATGATTTTTAAGGTCCCTTCCAACCCAAGCCATTCTGGGACTCTCCAATTTGAGTTTTCATGCTATTGTTCTAGCTACAAATAAGAACGAGCTCTGAGGAATTAATGAGACTTGTCACTATTCCCTGAGTTTATTACACAGAATTGAGGAAGATATTAAAGGGCCAAAAATAATAATAAATTTCAGGGTTTAGCAGTCCTATATGTTCATAACACAGTGGTTGGCTGAAGAGCACATCCATGTCTCATGGCACAAGTTTAGAGGATAGACAATAACTGTGACTCCAATGTCATTCTGTTAGCAGGAAATGTGTTAAATAAACAACCCATGAGATCTTAGGAATGAGACTACAAATGTATACAGAAATCCTGGATGCTGGAGCCAGCCTGAAGCTAGGGACAAACTCCATCTGA